AGAATATTACGATACTCTTAGTCATCTGCAAAGTTTATTATTATGTAGTCATGATTAAAATATACATTATGTATTACAAATTTTTGGATTTTTTAATTATTTAAAATTAAAATAAATAATATAGGATCATTATTTATGAAAACTAATTTCTTACAGAGTCCATATATTTAAACGCTAGCAACAAAAAAGTAGTAATTTTCAAAGACTTTTTGTTTGTAAATATTGGTATTTATACTTCTCTAACAAAATTCACACGTATTCTTTTTCTCATTGTGTTACTATTATATAATTTGTTTCTTATTCTATAGATAAATAATATTTTATTTGCTAAATAATTAAAGCACATTTATATGTATTGCGTTATTTTTTGTATGTGTTTTATATAATGATGTTTCCAAATTATCTTTTTTATTAGGCTACAACTACCATAATCACATAAGATAAAATGTAAATTTAATATATTTGATAAAAATGTACTTTTTATACGAATTATTAGATTAAAAAGTTTACAATTTTTTCTAATGTTTGATAAAATATTATGTAACTAAGTCATTTTCATAATCACTGAATATATATATATATATATATATATATATATATATATATATATATATATGGTACCACCATTATAGGGTTCTTTTTCAAGCAGTAATTAAATAATAGTTTAACGTACAACTCATTTATTTGTCTTTTTAATTCACATAACTAATATTATCTCATTTCCCTTCTCTGGCCTTGTCTTTTCCTTCTTTTATCTATGACTTCACTTCGCTTCACTTCGTTTGTACCTAAGGTGCATTCGCCATAGTTTCAGCATTACGGCAAACCAGTGTCAAATATATATCGGGAATATGCGCTCTAGACAAAACGTGGGAATAGTTGTAAGTTTACCTCCATTTTTTTATTTTTTATTTTTAATATGAATTGTTTCAAATCTGTGTAAGAAAAATATACCACAAGTTTATCTTATGTTATTTTATACTTAATAAAATTGATTTAACTTGAATAAAAAAATTAATATATACTATAATTTTAGGTCAATTTATTATTTTTAAATTAGTACTCATATATATATGTGTGTGTGTGTGTGTGTGTATATATATATATCGATATAAATAATTATATTATTTTTATTTTATTTGCAATATATTGGTCAACTCAAACATTATTGAAAAGAAATGATGTGATATTACATACAAAAAGAGTAACAAATAAAAAATATGAAGCATTTCAAAATTAAAAAATTTAATGATAGAAAATAATTAAACTTTTAACTAAAAAATTTTAAGATTAACATACCCAATTTTAAAGTATCTTGTTTGTTTTGAAACAAAAATTACTTATTATCATAAATTAAACGACAATTACATTGAATGTGTTATATTTTATATCATATCAAATTTTTCATAACAATAGTTGCACACAATATTATATATAATGCAATTTTTTTTTATATTTTTTTTATAGATTTGGAGTCTTACTTTTACTACAAGAAAATGAGAAAATTCCAACAAAAATTACAACAAGTATATAACGATCTTCTTAAGTTGAATTGAGAAAAATCATGTCTTTTGGTTTCTTAAATATATTTTATCTTATTGTGACTGTATTGATTTATTAAAATGTATTACAAATGAGAACGGTGATAGATTATGTAAAGTATAATTTATAAATTACAATGACATGTTATTTTGATGGTATATTTTTTCTATTAACTAAATAATGCCTCCAATATGAAATTATTTTGGATCTATCACTGCAATTAGCTTCCAATGGAATTTCCATTGAATTTTTGCACAATTCTAATGACAGTTTTTCCAATGATTGAAATATGGTCCAAAAAAAAATTCCAATGGAAATTCAAGTAATTGAAATCTTTAAATCCACTAAAGTTCATGTAATTTAATTTGAACTCTGTTGGAATAGCCAATGAAATCTTCCAATAAAAGCAATATTTATGAAATATTCGTTGGAATTTTCTGTAGAATACCTTACTATTGAATTGTTCATTGCAATATAGCAATTTGTTGTAGTCCTCTTAAACATTAATTTTTATATGTAGTATTTATTGATTAAATGTGTTTACAATTTTTCTATTAAAATATATTAAACACATGAACTTTTTAGTTTGTATATTTTTTTTTTCAGAAATCACTCATTATTTTATCTCAAGATTACCTATTAATTTACCAATTGAGTTACATTTCATACATATTAAATATTTAAAAATTAGAATATTTCTTATTTTATATGTTCAATATGATATTTATATATTGTATTAAAAAAAACTAATATAGCAAATAAAAAGTTATTTAAAATTAGAATAACAAAGATTTTTTTTTTTTGTTTTTTTTTTTTTTTTGGTAACTTACATGGATAAATGTACAAATAACTATTGTCTATCACATCAAATTTACACATAAAATTATAAGGACAAAAAACTAACAAGTGTTTAACAACTTTGCTCGTTTACGCCGATAAGTATATTTATAAGAGGTTTATATTTCTTCTATCAATTATAACATTTTTATTTATTACTTTGTTCCATATTTATTTGTGCGTGTCACAAATTATTTGTTTTTAATATTATTTATCATATTTAATATTATTTTAAACTTTTATCTTGTTCTTTTACATGTTCTTAACCATAGATTTGTCAAAAAAATGCATAATATAAAGTCTAGAATTTTTTTGATCATCTGTCTCATAATATATCAAGTATTTGTATATCTTATATTATATTATAATTAATTACAATTTTTTTTAAATTTATACTACAATTAAATATTTATAATTCATAAATTCATCAATAATATTGTCGTGTCAACTTTTGTTCATACAATTTTAAAAAACATAATTATTTTCAATTATTTGCTTATGTTGAATTGAGAAAAGTTATGTTTTTTTAATTGTAACTGTATTGAGGTGTAACATGTATTATAAATGAGAAAGATGACAAATTATGAAAAATATAATTTATAAATTATAATGACTTTATGTTATTTTAATGGTTACATTTTTTATTAACTAAATAATGACTCAAGTATGAAATTAATTTGTATCCACCACTGCAGGTAGATTTTGAATAGAACTTCCATTGAAGTTCTTACAATTCCAGTTTTTTTCCAACTGTTGAAATATGACCCGAAAAAAATTCAAACGGAAATTCACACAATAATAAATAATGATAATTGGATTAATTAAATCCACTGAAATTTCAATATAATGTAATTTGATCCTGTTGGAATAGTCAATGAAATTTTATAATGACAGCTATACGAATAAAATATCATTTGGGATTTTCAGTGGATGTCTTACCGTTGGATTTTTCATTGCAATGTAACTTTTTTTATCCCTTTATAAATTATATTTTTTATGTAGGAGTTTTTGTTATTAATTAGATGTATTTATAATTTTTCTATTAAAAATATACACATGAACTTTTTAATCCATATATTTTTTTAGAAATCGCTCATTATTTTATCGCAAGACTACCTATTAACTTATCGATTGATTTACATTTCTTGCACATTAAATTGCAGATTAAATATCAAATAATAAAAAGCATTATTGTATATATGTAATATGGTATTTATATATTATATTAAAAAACTAATAGCAAATAAAACGTTATTTAAAATCAAAATTACTTTAAAAAAAAATAAAAAATAAATTTCTAACCTACATGGATAAAAATATAAATAACTATTGTCTATCGTTTAAAATTTATACACTGAACTAATAAGCGCAAAAGTTTAATATGTGGTGAACAATTTGGCTCGTCTACATCGATAAGTACAAATTTAAAAGTTCTACAATTACTCTTACTAATTATGATATTTTTATTTATTATTTTTTTCATAGTTATTAGTAAGTGTTACAACTTAATTATAAATTTAATATTATTTATTAGATTTATTATTTTTTTAACTTTAAATTGTATTTCATATGTATTTTAATATATGTGGGTGTGTGTGTGTATAACTTTTAGGTTAGCTAAAAAATACATAAATTAAAGTATAACACTTTTTGAGTCATATGTCTTATTTATATCAATTAATTTTATATCTGTATATTATATTATATATAATTATAATCTTCTCATTTATACTCAAATATATAAATTTTTTATTTCGTACATTTTTTTTCTTAAAAACCATTATATTATAATAACACATACTAATAGATAGATGAGTAAGGATAATATATGAATATAATTTTTTGACTAAAATTAACTAATTTTCAACATGTAAATCATATCATGATTCTAGAGATATTTTTAATTAATCTGTAGATAATTATATGGTTAAAATTAATCCATGTTTCATAAAATTGTTCTGGTCTTATGTACCGAAGAAGTTGAATTGATTAGAAGTTTTGGTTGCAGAACAATCATTCAACTATTAATCTCGCATACTATGACATTTTGTATAGGTCATTTTGAAAATAATGTTTCTATACTTTGTGGTTGTTGTGAAAAAAAAATAATATCGATTTCTAGTTTTATAAGTGTTTATTATGCTTTTTTTGTTGGATCAATTTTAATTTCTTTAAAGAACTTTTATATATTAGAGTTATGAAATGTGATTACAATATTACCATTATAATTATATTAAAAATAATGACGTTTTTCAAAACAACAATTTTATATCCTATCAAACAGTTTTAGAGATATGTGAAAGAAAACAAATTCGTGAGAAATAATGGTGCCAAACCAACATATTGTAGTTGATTTTAGGAGTGTGGAATGATTTGTTCATGTATTTGTATTTAATTAATTACATATTAGTTATAATTAAAAATAAAAGATATGATGGTCATTAGTGTATTACTAATTTACCATTAAAAACATGTCAAAGTAAGGGTTCTTTAGGTAATTTATTTTTATATTTAAAAATATAAAATATGATGTGTATTAGTTTATTACAAATTTGCCATTAAAAATATGTCAAAGTAAAGGTTTTTTAGGTAGTTGATATTTTTATAAAAACACTCGTCCTTTTAAAGTAGTAGGCAAAGATGAAGGTGAAAAGCACCACAAACCCGAGAAGCACACCAGCAACCATCCCAAGCATGTCTCGTCTGAACCCAAAGTAGTTCCTCAAGAACTCCTCAACCGATTGACCCGAATCTTCCATCACATCTCTAACCTCACCATATTGTGTGATGATAAAACCGTACAGTGTATAAGCCATTGGTGTCGCCCAATAATACCACCTCCACCACACAGGGATTCTCTGTTTTTTTTTTTTTTTCGCTGTTTACTTGTGCCACAAGTTATACTTACAGGTCGTGGGACGATGAATCCACAGAACAAATTCCAAAAGGCATAGAAGAAGGACGAGATGATGGTGGCAACATTGTGGTTAGGAGTTACGGCAACAGTCATCATGCCGTACAAGACAAAGTACAATAACGAGAAGAACAAGAAATATATGAACCAGAAGAATTTCTCGGCCGTCCAGTCGAAACCCATCATGGAGTACACAATGAGAGCGTACACAACGGATTGGACAAAAACGTACGGGATCTCAATCAGAAACTGAAAACAAAAAACCGAAAAAAAAAAATTGGTTTAAAAACCTTTTAAAAAGTCGAAGATTTATAATTGTCTAAATAAACTAGTCTCACCTGTGAGAATGCATATGGTAGAGCAGAATACATTCCGGCAGCTTTTTCCCTGTAAAAGACAGTCCTCTCGATGGCCACAACTGGCTGTACTGTGGAACCGTATTGAAAACCCAAGAAGTTGACTGCAGCATACATTGAACCCATGGCATTGAATAAATCTTGCTGGGTGTTCCTGCAATTTCACAACATTCAATTCAACTAAGATGTTCAGCACAAATAAAATTTTCACTTTTTTTTTTTTTGGTAATGAGCTCTTTTTCTTTTTATTTATTTGGACTTACCATCTCTGGCCAAGATCCCAAAACATTGTACCGAAGATAAGAGCGATGAATGTAGTGAACAAGAATCTGACGGCAGTGTAAGGCGGATTACGCCAGTATGACCAATGTTGTTTCCACAAGCAAGCAATGCATTGGATGAGGAAAGATTGTGAATACTTAGTCGGAAAATAAAGATCTTTTGTCCCAGGCCGTGGGACGCTTAATTCCTTGATCAAAGCTTTGTTTCTCCTACAAAAAATTCAGCATTAAAAATAATGAAAAAACAACACGGATTTCAGGATATGTTAATTTCACAATTTCATTACTATGTTTGTTGACTTACATGTACAAGTCTGATTTCTTGTAGTGTTCGGTAAAGTCCAACCCCATAGACAGCTCCTGTGCTGATGTAGTAACTTCCAGCATCCATGTAGCCGGATTATAACCATCCTTAATCTTCGCCACCCCTTCAATTCCCTCAAAATAGTTGATCAAGTGTGTCGAGTGGCGGCCAAGTGGGCCCACGTATATCTCCTGTCCTCCCCGTTTCATCAGAAACAACTGCAAAAAACTACCCGTCTTTAAACAACAGTTTTGTGAATCGCTACAACTCAAAGCAAACTTTTTTTTTTGAAGTGTTATATAACCTCATCAAACGCTTCGAAAATGTCAATACTCGGCTGATGGATAGTGCACACGACAGTCCTCCCCGTGTTGACCGTGTTGCGAACAGTCCTCATGACAATGGCAGCTGCCCTGGCATCAAGCCCTGAGGTCGGCTCATCCATGAATATGATTGAAGGGTTTGCCACGAGCTCGACTGCTATCGTGAGCCTCTTTCTCTGCTCAGTCGAGAGCCCATTCACACCCGGAAGCCCCACTAGTGCTCCCCTCAACGGGCTCAGCTCCACCAGCTCCATTACTTCCTCAACAAACATCTGCCCAAAAAAAAAAAAAAATCTCATTATCAAAAATTTATAACCAAACATAAATTTGATTTCTGAATATATTTTTACCTTTATTTCTCAATCTATTTTTACCTTTCTAGTTTCGGAGTCGATATCACGAGGGAGCCTGAGCCAAGCGGAGTAGACGAGGGATTCATAAACGGTGACATTAGGGGAGTGAATGTCGGTTTGCTCACAATAACCGGAAATCCTAGCAAAGGTGGATTGGTTTTTCGGGTAGCCGGAGATGGTGATGTCACCCTCGATGTAACCTCCCGTTTTTCTTCCCGCCAAAACGTCCATCAGAGTCGTTTTTCCGGCCCCACTCACTCCCATCAAAGCCGTGAGAACTCCGGGCCTGAATGCGCCGCTAACTCCCTTCAACAGTTCCAATTTGTCTTCACTCACTCCCTGAGCTTTCATTTCCTGCATAAAATGTTTCCAAATTAAAAATTATTAAAAATTTGACGAATCAAATGCGCCTTAAAATTATTAAAAATATATACCGCTGGCATGTCGACCGAGTATCTGATGTTGTCGAACGTGATGGAATGTGGCTCGAAAGGAAGTACCATTCCTTTTTTCTTGTTCTCGTTGTCTTCAATGGAGCCTGTGGAGGCTAATCTATTTCGGCTGTCGTCGTCGTCTTCGGAAGCTTCCGGTAGTACTGCCTGAGGCTTCTCGAAAGCTGCAACAGTTTTTTAACGCGTCAGTTGTATGTCTTGCAGCATATAAATTCAGAGTGTACTGAAATGTAAATAAAGAAAACTCACGGCCAAGGACTGTTAGACAAATAATGTAGAAGATGTTGAACAGGAACACGAATCCGACACTTGCCCCAAGTCCCAGCCAGTACCAGTAAGAGTCAGGAAAGAAGCCTCGTGACCTCATAACAAGCACTCCCAATTCTGTTCCGTTTATCAACTACAAAAAACGATAGTTTCGAAAAAATCTAGTTCAATTAGGTGCGGTTCGGTGCAAAGCCACACCGAACTAACAAAATCATAAACCAAACTTGTAAAAAACTTTAACCATGCCACACCCAATGTAGGAAGAAATCGAACCGAACATTTATAACATTCAAAAAAAATGAACCGAACTGCACTAAATTGCACGGTTCGTCTCGATGAGGAAGGTTGTTATCGCTACATAGGTGGATATTGGGAGGCTAGAGAGAAAGGTAGCTGGGAGGATATACCCGATATATTCAGACAGCCTTGCGAACTCCCTGTTAGTTTAGCCGAGGGATGAATATCATAAAAAATTGTCTCTCAAGTATATGAATGTGGGGATACCACCCAGTCGAAAAAAAAAAAAAAGAAAAAAGT